CCTATTGTGATTCCAGCTAAAATTTGATACGGAATCAATACGAACTATTGTGATTCCGTCAGATTTTAAGTCCGTATGGTTTTTAGTATGGACTGTAAAAAAAAATGCCCTTCCCCAACTTATCTAGAAAAAACACCTTAAAAACGTCCTTCAGCATTTTTCGGCTTTTCCAGCAGAAAATGACAGCAGCAGCAGCAGCGGCCATTTCGCTCAGAAATCCTGCTTCCGGCGATTCTCCTTCTTTCCATCCACATTCTCCTCCACGCCCTTATTCTGTGATATAACGGAAAAAAGCGTAAATAAATGAGGGCAAAAACATGTGGGAAATTGAGAAGAGTTCTAATCTTGAGTTGTAGACATCATATCTTATCAAAATCGATCTGTCGTCGATTCTTGATGCATTCTTTGTGTACGGGCCGTTTGGATACCCTAAGTATTCTCTGCGTTACAATTGCTCGCAGAGCACAGTTGAAATCACTGCTAAAACTGTACTCCCCATAGATTGGTCCAGATAGTACCCAACACGTGACGAGAGTGTTCCACACTACTTCTTGCAAAATGTTTACCATGTCCTCTACGTAGGCTAGCTCGCGAAGACTAAACATGAAATCGTGGAAAGTTGGGTACATCTGTTCGTCTCCGAAATTGAGCGAACTGAGCAAAGCGTGTACTGGCTCTATTTCATGTTCTTGAAGTGATACGTGCATCATCATCCTAGAGAATTCTCCCCAGCACTTGCCGTATGCCCTTTGGCTTGGTCCAACATCTACATGCTGTTCACCTGTCTCGGTGGTTCCGTCATCTCCTCCTCCTCCTGTGGAGGTCGACGGAGAGTAGTCAGGATCATCGGAGTGTTCCGACAGTGCTCCTTCTGACGAGGTGTCCATGTAGTTGTAAAAATCAGGTTCGTGCTCACAAAAAAACAGAAGACGGATACAGGTCTCGATTTCAAGGACTACGCCGACATCGGACTTGAGAGTCCGATGAACGACGACGACGAGCTCGAGCAGCTCGAACACCTATTTTTAGGAGAATCAGGCATCGCAGCGGACCACAACATGGCCTTCACAACCATCGAGCAGCAACAAGATGAAGAACCAGACCACAACCTGATTGCAGCGGGTGTAGCAGCATCATCACAACCTGGTGAGACGGTTCACCCTCCGAGGCGGGTATTCCCGTTCAGCGATGTCATGGATATCATAAACGAAGAACAAGACATGTCCTTGACACCAGCATCATCAAGCCAGACGGTGTA